TTCTTCACTGTCATGCATACGAAAAAAATAAAAAAAAGAGTGAGGATGAGGGTAAAAACAAGAATTCATAATAGAATAAGATGCCAACGCGTTAGCCTCTCGTAGTCGCTATGGAAGGAAAAACTTGTTGTTATTCAACACCGGACTAGCACTAGCCATCGATTAGGTACTACGGATAGTAATAAAGAGGACTATTTTCTGAATATTTTCCTATTTTCGGTCTATGTTATTGTCTAATAGATTCTTGTCCGTCCTATCCGATATAAAAAGTATTTGTTGAAGATAAGAGACATGATAGAAGTCATATCTTCTACATGCCACTGACTTTAATTGACAGCGCATAAGTGTAGCTGACTAGGTTTAGATGTGCTATAAATCTGTGAAATTGTGAATGTGGACTGTCACCTTTTCGTGATCACACTCATATCTACTTACAAAGATACGTACATTCGCATTAGCCCAAAAACTCTGCTCCTCTACTGATATCTCTATCTGTTTCCAAGAAATTTTGGTTTCAAAATGATAGAATACTAGCAAGAAGCAATGCAGAGTACGCTGTGTATGAATAATCGCGAAGGTGGAACAAAACGACGTATTTCTCATGAAAGAGTAGTAAGGCTTATCCTAGAAGAGAACGCCAGCGAAATTCATGTTAAATCGATTACTATTGAAAGCAACGATTTTCAGATCTCGTATGACAATTCATGTCGACTAATTTTGCCTCTCCTGTATAAGTTTTCTGTATCGTAGTTGTCTACTAAATAGGTCTTTGTGAATACTTATGCAAACATATAACCGTACCCATATTATTGATTGCGATGAAATTGCGACGCAGTTTCGGCGCAACTGCGATCACACTGTGACCCGCAATTGCGATCTTTATTGCGATTCTGCACAATTGTGGTAAAATAATCGGACTTGCGCCGCAATTGCGACAAAATATTCGCATGGCCGCGCAACTATATTTCGACATCATGCGGGGTGGCGGTGTCGTTATACGTATCATATTTATATCACACTCACACACATACCGAAACCCTACCAGCATTCACATCCCATCCACACCAAGACCCACACCGACATACACACCAACACACTACTCACAAGTACACACACGCCCATAACGACATCGACACCTACTCGACACACCCACTCACACCCACCCGACACACAAACACCCATATGCACCCACACCGACACGCACCCACACACACACGCATCCACACCCTCAAGAATTGTAGTAATCCGACTGTCTCCTACTTAACGAATTGTTTCTATCTTATTAGGATTTATCTTTTATTTTTACATAGTATTAAATATTTAATATTTCTAGCATCGATATATGCTAATACTTGCCGCAATACTTTTCAGATATTCTATTAAATGGCCACATCATCTAACACTGGTTTAGTTACGGCAGCTTTTTCGTCGCTACTTGGGTTGACACCATCAAATGCTTCTGTGCCAGCAGTGACTATTGATGCTCTTAAAATCTATTCATGGGCGGTTCCAGTTGATGGCAGGTCACTTGTACTGCACATACATGGACAAGATTTAAAGATACCACTGAATGCTACTAGTAGTCACACCATTAGGGACGTGAAAGTAAAAATCCAAGAGAAGGAAGGAATACCAATCGATGAACAAATATTATTATCCAAGTCCTTTAAGTTCGAAGATAATCGAACATTAAACAGCTATGGAATACAAGATGGATCAATTATCCATCTCTGGCGTCGATTCCACTGTGCAGAAATTATTCTCAAAACTTTAACTGGAAAATTAATAGTATTAGACGTGGAACCGTCCGATACCATTGAAGATGTGAAAGCAAAAATGCAAGATAAACAAGGAATTCCACCAGATCAGCAGCGCCTCATCTTTAAAGACAAACAACTAGAAGCTGGACGAACATTGCTTGATTATAATATACATCCAGGATCGATACTATACTTAGTTCTTCGTCATCGTGGAGGGTGTCCTTTCGGAGACGGTGTCCATATAAAAACGTTTACAGGAAAAATAATAATAGTGAAGGTGGATTATGAAGGTACCGTGGAGCATGTGAAAGAACAAATTAAAGCTAAAATGGGGATTCCAATACATCAACAGCAACTGACTTTTCATGGCCGTTATCTGGAAGAGGGACGACTCCTTAATTATAATGTCAGTGATAATGACAACACGCTTGATCTCATCGTCCGACAGCCACAAACTGTTAGAGTTCGAACAATAGCAGGAAAAGAAGTGAAAATTCATAACTCAAATTGGTCAGTTCCTCAACTAAAACAAAAGATCGAAAAAAAGACAGGAATTCCTGTCAAAGAACAATATCTGGTTCAATGGGATTATCTAATTTTATCTGATGATGCTCTGTCATATGAAGACACTCTTGTTCTACATTCAGCAAATCATATTATACTGCAGCTATTGAACCAGACACCTATTGATATGGCTGTATTACCCTCATGGTCTATTCGTTACTTGAAGGAGGAAATTGAAAAACTGCTAGAAATCACTGTCGAGCGACAACGACTTGTTTGCAATGAATTATTGGACCAGACACCTGTTGATATGGCTGTATTGTCTTCATGGTCTATTCGCTACTGGAAGCAGGAAATTAAAAAACAGCTAAAAACCAAGGTTGAGCCACAACGACTTGTTTGCGATGACTGTGAGCTAGAGAATGAAAAATATGTCTCGGACTATGCTGCTATTGTAGAAAATCGAGCTTCCATCACCGTTCAACAAAAATATACACTGTCACTACTACCAAGCAATGTCACTCTTCCAATTACCGATCATCATTCTGTTGGTGATATTAAAGACCTTATTCAAGATGAACTGAATATTCCACGAAACAATCAAATCTTGTTTATGCATGGTGAATTTCAAAACGACGATCAAAGAACATTTTTCAATTCAAAATCAGATGAGAAAGGATATGTGATTGATAATATGGGTGCTACAGTTATTATTGCCATTGATCTTCCAAATCAGGATCGAAAAGTCTATTTACTTAACAAACCAGCAACGGATTTGGATCTAAAGAAGCTTATTGAAGAGCAGTTTGGTTATGCAATTAAAGCACAAAGCCTCAGATACCAGACAGGCATTGAAGTTGGCAATCTAGTAGCTAGTGGAAATATGATCACACTTTCAATCATTGGTGACACATTGTTCTGGAAGTTATCGACTTCTCCAAATCGATCTCGACAAAGTTCACTCTTGCCATCAGCTACTGTTGAGGAAGTTATAAACTATATTGCAAAGAAGTTATCTCTTCTTCCTTATCGTATCAACTTGATTAGTTTGCTTGAGCGCTACCATATCGACGGCAAACAAAAAACTTGTTCTTCGTATGGATACAAGGGTGGGCAGATCATTCAAGTGAAAGTATGTGAACCAGCTCATCGACAAGTACGAATCATACTGCCTACTAAAACAGTATTGCAAATCGATGTTATCGTCGATATTTCCATTTTGGAACTGAAATCGATCATTGAAAAGCAAGAAGGCATTGATGTGCAATCTCAAATCATACTAAGGGGTGATCAAGAACTCATCGATGATGAAATCATTTACAACTGTCTTTTGGACTGGGCCAATCCGCTGACTATGAAAATCGTACTGAGTGGTCCACTTGCTCTTGATGCTGGTTCACTTGCACCTCATTATGACTATGACTTCACCAATACAGTCGATACCGACGAAGTATTTATGAGAGGAAACTACCGATATGAACGTCCTCATGGTTGTAAACGTATTGCATTGGGTGTGGTGGGTAAATATGGATCTGAGTATGATGATCGATGGCTTGGAATGACAGGCACTGATCCAGAAGAATGGCCTGTTTCTTATCATGGAACAGAAAAACATAATGCAATGAGCATTGCTGAGGAGGGTTTCAAGCTGAGCAAAGGTGATCGATTCAAGTATGGCAGAGGTATTTATTCTACACCTGAACTTGAAGTGGCCAAGCTGTATGCGAAAGAATTTATGCATGAAGGAGAAAAATACTTTGTTCTCTTTCAGAATCGTGTCAATCCAAAATACTTGAAAGTGATTAGTAAGGAAGAAACAGAGATCGGAACTTATTGGCTTAGCAGCAAAGGACCGGATGACACTGATGAAGATATATCAGATCTCATTCGCCCGTACGCTGTATGCATATTTAAGGCATGAAGATTTGATTTGTTTTTGAAGACACTGTAATTTTTTCTTTTGAAATAAATAATTTACTCATGATGACATAAAGTTCAGAATATGATTTCTTCGAAACTCGAAAGTAGTGCTACGAACTATACCATGTGTCAGTCGAATCAACTTGGTGTGAGAGCTGTGTTCTTATTTTATCCAAATTCACCCTCAAGTAGTATACCGAGAATGTTGTTCCAGTGGAGATATCTCTTCTGCTTGAACATCTGTACTTGCTATGACGTTTTGATTTCTCAATGGAACTTTGTTCCCTGTTTTTTTCTGTTTTTGGTAGTTGTTAGTGTGCGTGTGATGTGTAAGGTGTAAGAAACAGAATGAAGAATAGAGAGGGTTCTCTCGTTCTACCGCGTAGCACCGACAGAACGATGAAAAAAAGAACGACTCACTCGCACACGAGGAAAAATATTCGATCCTTCTAAAGCAAGTTACATCATCGCTAACGTTTTTTTTGTCTGTTTTTTCTTTATTGTACCACCAAGAATATACACAGTGAGTCATAAATATTTTTACGATAAAAAACTTGAATATCTCTATTACGGTTCGAGCTTTCTTAAGTATCACTATTGACCTTAACAAAAAGAATGTAATTTTTCACAGATTGGAAAAAATTAATGCACTCAACAAACAGTCTTTATAGGTATAAACCTTGAACATACTTCTATCATTGACAAAAATAATCAGCTCATTTGTTCGAGCCATAATGAATGCTCTCATATTTTATCGTAAAGATATTTATGACTCACTCTGTATTTCATTTCACATATCATAGGACAACAGGATGCTTCGAACTGTATCTGACTGGACCATATTCATTTTTGGTTTAATAAGCAGTGAAACAATTTTTAATCTAACGAAGTTTATTGTTCTTTATCGATCAATACCTCAAAATAGCGATTATATTTTATTATTTACTAGCAGCATGGAATCAATAGAGAAAATTCGATCACTTTACTATTGTTTTCTGATTGGTAACAGTTACAGTATTCATTTTGACTATTAAGAATGATCATGCATCAGGATGTAGAAGGAACAAAATAAAACGAACATTATATATATAGAAAGATAGAAGAGCAAAAAACTAACAAGAAATTGAAATTTGACTGAGAAATACAATGAGATATTCCTAGTACTCTAGATAGTCGATTATTGTTGAAAATATAACAACCGTAACTTCATCTACAAATGTGCGCATATACACAACGAACGTTTTCTCTGATTTATTTTAGATACGACAATAATCGATTATTCCTTTCAATGACTGGTGATCGATGTAAATCATTCCTTCACAATGATACCTGTCTGCATCGGCTTGTTAGGGTGTGGATGTGGGTGTGGGTATGGGTGTGGGTATCCCTTCTTTAAAGAGAACACTCACATCCACACCCACAAATATTACTTTTATCTTAGTAAAAAGAATACACTTTTATAATTTATAAATACAAATCTCAAAACTGTCCACTCCTACTGTTATTGATAAATATTTCATTCTCCGAAAATATACTACTACCACTTGAATCTTAACTTTATCACATGATCATCTATGCATTTTTCAATTATATTTTTACTTCATTTTTCGCGGAATAGAATCAGACAGATTAGACGAAATGAAATCGATATCAAATTTCCACTTGTTAATATGTGAATAGATGCATATATTATATTTCAATCATATTGACTTAAGCTATTGTCTGTGTTTTAGAAATCAAAACACACATTTTTTCGTTATATTCTTTTACTTTAAAATCAAATATGAATACAATCAATATCTGCTGCTACGTCGTTTTCATTATTTTCAAGTAAATAATTATTCGTTTCTATCATTCATATTGTGAACATTTATTCGTTTTATATTTTAGTATAACAGGTTTGATTTTTATTCTATTTTATATGTTTATATGTATTAGTTTACCACTTTCATAGTTCAAATCAATTCTCAAATATGTGAGAAAAAACCTCAGTATAGTGAATGTTCTACAAACAATGCATGTGGATGCTTTCGTATGATAGGTGCTAATAATGATGCAGGCATTTGTGGTTTCCGCTGGCTAGCATGTTCTCGTCTTGTACTGTGTAATTCTTCGGACAATTCATGTTCTCAACCAAATACGACCTGTGTTCAACATCCTGAATGTAATGATCTTCCTGTTTGTTATCCGTTTACAATGACTGATCAAAGCATCTGTCCACCGATGAAAAGTGAGTGAATCAGTGGATGATAGATACAACATTCTTGGCCACACTCTCAAAATATTTGAAACTATAACTGTCATCTGTTTTAGATAAGACCAATCTTGAATGGAAACAAAATGGCATCACTGTGGCTGGTGGTAATGGACCAGGTAAAGAATTAAATCAACTAAATCGCCCTCGTGGGATCTTGATTGATGAAAAGAAAAATATTTTTATTGCTGATGGTGATAATAATCGTATTGTTGAATGGAAATACAATGCAACGGAAGGACAAATCATTGCAGGTGGAAATGGGCAAGGAAATCAAATGGATCAATTGAGCCTACCAACAGATGTGGTTATTAATCAACAAGATCATTCGATCATCATTGCTAATAACGGCAACAATCGAGTGATTCAATGGACGAACCAAACTCAACAAATTCTCATTCAGAATATTGACTGTAGGGGCTTCGCAATAGACAAAAATGGTTTTCTTTATGTTTCTGATGGTGTCAAGAATGAAGTGAGACGATGGAAAATGGGAGAATACAACAACGAAGGAATTGTAGTGGCAGGTGGAAATGGAAAAGGAGATAAACTCAATCAACTCGATTCTCCTAATTTTGTATTTGTTGATGAAGACCAATCTGTTTATGTATCAGATATATTCAATCATCGTGTAATGAAATGGAGAAAAGATGCAAAAGAAGGAATAATTGTGGCTGGAGGAAATGGTCCAGGAGGAAATCTGAATCAGTTGTCTTCACCTATGGCAGTCATTGTTGATGATTTCGGTCAAATCTATGTGGCAGATTGTGATAATCATCGAGTAATGCGTTGGTGTGAAGGAAAAGAAGAAGGTGAAATTGTTGTTGGTAGAAATGGACAAGGAAATCAATCAGATCAATTGAATATTCCCGCTAGTTTATCTTTTGATGATGAAGGAAACCTTTATGTTGCTGATGCGATAAATTCTCGAATTCAAAAATTTGAATTAATTTTGTGAATGAAATCTTGATCTAAAAAAAAGAAGAAAAAAGTTTTATTAAATAAATAATGGAGAAATAAAAGAAAGAATGAAGTTCTACTGTTGAAAAACAATAAAAAAATCAAATAAATTTTTGATAAGAAAACAACGAACAAAAATCTTTTTGGTTTTTTATTTATCAACCTAGAATTTAATTGGTAATATTCATTAAAAAAGTCGAATAAATAAATATTAAATTTTTCATCTTTTGTTAGTTATTGTCCAATTTTACAGAAGAAAAGGAAAGAGAATGTTTTATGATTTGAATGTATTTTAGAAAATTCTATTTGTATATTTTTATCTTTGATGAAAATAATTAAACTGTCTAAAGCGAATGAGAAAAGAAATGTTTTATAAAAAATTTAATAATAAAAATTGGATCGCAATGTATTTTACTGAATAAAAAAAATGTTGGAAAGATTTTTGTTAAATAAATTATCAAATTGTATCATTTTTCAATGCTATTAGTTCGATTTTAAAAAATTTATTAATAAAAATCGAATTGAAAATTGATTCAGTAAAATGAAATCAGTAAAAAGAAATTTTATTTGAAATTTCAAAATAAATCAATGAACATTTTCGTTTAGATGAAAAGCAAAAATAAAAATTACGGAAGAAAAATGAACATGAAATTGAAATAAAATAAAACATTGATACTAAAAGTTATGAAACGATCCTAAATTTAAATTTGATTTTTGATATCAAAGAGATTTGTTTTATTTTCCAAAGAAATTAAAATAAATATTTCATAACTGCTTTAGCGAATCGAGTTCATTTCAATTTCAAATGAAAAAGTTCAACATTTTCTTTGTTTTTGATTTTGAATAAAAAGTTTCTATGAGAAATGATTTAAATTCAATTTTCTTTTTCATCAAATACAAGCCAAATTATCCATAACTTTCGAATCAATAAAGTTTTTTTGTGATAAAATATTCGTTTTTTCATTGACATGGGTGTGAGTGTGGGTGTGAATTTGAGTGTCCCTTATTGATCTAATAAGAACTCTCACATCCACACCCTCGGATAATTGAGAGAAAGAATAAATTTGTATAACATTCAATTTACTTTTAGATTTTACAGAATTTTCTTGGATTATTATTTGATAAAATTTTGTTTAGAAAAATAAATCAACTCTTCTTCAATAGTTTAATTCTTCATCATAATAAAATATTTGAATTTTATCGATTGAATTCTTATCGAACGGTAGAAAATGTCGTTGTTTTTAAGAAAGTATTCAACATTTCACAATGACATTTTCATATGTATCCGACAGTCTCAGTATGATGTTTTCGTCTTCGTTCTCTTGTGCATGCCAATGTAGAACAAAATAAATGATTGATATACTATTTTTACTTAGAATTATGTTAATATGATCATAATTATTCATCATGATGAACAATTTCAACGTATAATAAAATGATAAGTTTAGTTGATTTTGTTAAATGTAAATGTGACGTTATTCTGTACGATTCGAATTCTTCTGTTTATGTATTCGTCTCTCATAGATTTGATGATATTCATATTGTTGAATAATATTTGATGAAGATTTATTCTGAAGATCAGCAACTATACTTTTCGTATCATTTATCTAATGTGTGAAATAAGAATAAAATCGATTATACAGTATATTTCTGACAGCATACAATGTCGGTATACTTTCTTTCAACTGAATAGAAAATAGCAAAAATATTTTGTTGTCAAAAAACTTCTATTTTATTGTTCAGGAAACGTTGTATTTCCTTCGTTAAGGCATAATTCGCGAGGATTACTTTCAAAATCTTGAAAAATACATCTCGAAAAAAATGTTCTCAAAAAATAAAATCTCGAAAATGTAAAACCTCGAAATTGGATAAAGCTAGAAAATAATCACAGAGCATCTTGAGAGTATGAGTATCGGTGTGGTTACCATGGATATGATACACCAACATCCACACCCACACATACTTTATAAAATAAAACACAAATATAAAAATGTAGAGTTTTAAGAAATTTTTCATTATTGCTTATGAAAGATTTTATTCTATTTGAAATATTTTTCTAAATATTCATATAAAAAACGGTAAATTAAAAATAATAATAAAATCAAGCAGAATATTAAAAATCAGGGAATATAATTTATTTCTAATTGGGATATGTTAAATCTATATTAATGTATTTTATTTTATACAAACTTTTTAATTAAAATAATTTTTGTTTTTTTCATTATCAGTTCTATTCAACAGAATCTTTTCTCTTCAAAACTACGAATTTGTCAGTTTGTTTCAAAAACAAATTATCTTTCAATAAAAGTTCCCTTTGTTTAAAATTTTGGTTTTAAAAAATATTTTCAAACTCTTTTTCTTATTAAACAAGGATGTGTGTGGGTTTAGGTTGGGTGTTAGTAGCTTCTTCATCCACACATACCCACATCCATCGAAACGAGATTTAGTCCCTCACCCTCACCCACCCTAATCCTTCTCAAATATTAATCAAATGTTGTTATTAACGCGCTTTTTTCTCAGTGACTCTTATTTTATTGAAGAAAAGAATAAGCAGACGAGAAAATATTAAAGTAATATCGAATTTCTGGGTATTAAAAGTTTAAGTCGTGCGACACTTAATTTTCGGTGAAAGAGAAAAAGACTACCTACGTATTAGATATAATTATATAAAGAATACCGATACGATTGTGTTTCAATTCAACACAAGTTATGGTTCCAACCGCAATTCAATGTTTGGTATTTGTTTTTTTCAGGTAATATAATCTTTTTTTTCTTCTTTAGCTGACGATGAAGAATCTTTCGTTCAAGGCTTATCACTTTAATTCTTGTTTTATTTATTTAGCATGCCAATAATTCGAGTGAATTCTCTAACATGTCAAGGGATTTCTCAGTATGCTCAATGCTCACTGAATAGTGCTTGCGGCTGTATGCACATGCCAGGTGCTATTAACGCTGGTATTTGTGGATTTACGCATCTTGCCTGTTCTGGATTTGTTCCATGTGCATCTTCAAACAACGTTTGTGAACCAGGCTACATCTGTGTATATCATCCTGTATGCTATACACTTCCAATTTGTTATCCAGTGTCGATGGCCGGTGAACCCTTTTGTCCAACGATAACAAGTAAGAGAATAAATAGCGATCTACAAATTCAAGTGATACTCGAAGTGTTCTTAAAAGGCACTTCTTCATCATTCACGCACCTCTCACATAGATAGTCAATGTTGTTGTGTGAATAGCGAACAAAATCCGGCGGCCTCTTGGAAGAGCAGATTAACTGAATTGCAATTTTGAAGAAAAGTTCTTACCTCTAGTCATATACACGACGATATTTATTAGTCGTAAATGCAGAATATATTGTGCTTTTATCGAGCGAAACATGATGACGCATTGAGCTTCTGTTCTGAACACTCTACTTGTGAGTTTACATATGTACAGAGCTTCGCCATCATCAGCAGTTTCTGAAAAAATAAATTTGATTATCAGCCTATATTTTATAGCATTGCTCTATTCTGGAACTCTGCTTAAACTTCACTCAAAACTGAGACTCATCGAGCTTATCTTCCATTCTAAAGTAGACTAAAAACTAAATATTTCGCTCACATAAATATTTTATGTTAATGAATAGTGACCAATACTACAACACAACCAACTTTCATTACAACTACAACTTCAACTACATCCACCACTTCGCAGCCAGGTAAGCATTGAATTAACGTTTTTAAACTCGCTAAGTTCTACGAAGGGCGTGGGTATGGGTGAGGGTAAGGATGAACAAGAAACACTTACCCTCATTCACACCCACATCCACACCTACACATCCAATGGAAAGTGAGTGGATCCCGGTGGATGATATATGCAACCTTCTTAGCCACGCTTTTAAGATATTTGAAACTATAAATTTGATCTGTTTTAGAGAATATTAATCTTAAATGGAAACAAAATGGCATTACCGTGGCTGGTGGAAATGGACTTGGACAAGAATTAAATCAACTCTATCACCCTAAAGGAGTCTTTCTAGATAAAAAGAAAAATATGTTCATAGTTGATTACTATAATCATCGTATTGTTGAATGGAAATATAACGAAAAGGAAGGACAAATCATTGCTGGTGGAACTGGACAGGGAAATAGAATGGATCAATTGAATTTTCCATCCGTTGTGATTGTTGATCAACAAGATCATTCGATGATCATTGCTGATCAAGGGAACGGACGGGTGATTCGATGGCTGAATCAAACTCAACAAATTCTCATTCACAATATTGACTGCTATGGCTTGGCAATGGATAAACATGGATTTCTTTATGTTTCTGATACTAAGAGGAATGAAGTAAGACGATGGAAAATGGGAGAATACGACAACGAAGGACTTGTAGTGGCAGGTGGAAATGGAAAAGGAGACCAACTCAATCAACTTGATTTTCCAACTTATATCTTTGTTGATAACGATCAATCTGTTTATATATCAGAGTATTACAATCATCGTGTGATGAAATGGAGAAAAGATGCAAAAGAAGGAACAATTGTGGCTGGGGGAAATGGTCAAGGAAGAAATCTTAATCAACTGGCTGCACCTGAAGTAGTAATAGTTGACCATTTGGGTCAAACCTATGTGGCAGATTCTTGGAATAATCGAGTAATGCGTTGGTGTAAAGGAAAAGAAGAAGGTGAAATTGTTGTTGGTGGTAATGGTCAAGGAAATCAATCAAATCAATTCATTCTTCCCATGGGTTTATCTTTTGATGATGAAATAAATCTTTATGTTGCTGATCATTACAATCATCGAATTCAAAAATTTGAAATAATATTGTGAATGTAATTTTGATTTTGAAAGGAAGAAAAAAACTTTATTAAATAAATAATCGAAAAACAAAAGAAAAAATAAAGTTTTATTATTAAAAAATCAATTAAAACTTGAAGAAAAAGCATCTTGAGGGTGTGTGTTGATGTGAGTGTCGATGGAATAAAATATCCACACCCACACCCTTAATTGTGTCATTTAGACCAGAGGTGTGCGGGTCACGGGTTTCGACCCGCGGGGGCCACGTGGCCACGTGGCGACGGGCGGGCGGGGATGGTTTTTTGAAAAATTTGCTCGGGTCGGGCGGGCTACGGGTATTGCAGACTAATCGGCGGGCTGGACGGGTACAAAAAAAATAAAATGATACGATCCTCGGGCGGGCGAGGATAATTTCCACGGGTTACGGGCGGGTAAAGAAATTTTTTGAGATATAATATAAGACCGTCGAGAATAATCGATAGATATGATTGACCGACAGTTACGCGCGGACATTTACGCGCATGACACTTACGCGCGCGACGGTTGAGCGTATAGACATTTGCGCGCGAATTGAGAAAAAGATGATAAAATATATTTTTTTTAAATTTCGTTCGAATTATGAACGGGCAGAAATATATGCTTAACTGCTGATGAAAAAATTGTTCTTAATTTCAAAAAACATATTGATATAAATTACTAACAGAGATAAGTAGTATTTACTTACAATAAACAAACAAATACGCTAAGTGAACAATAATTGAGAATAAAGAATGTACTCGTTCAAAAATTAAACACTGATCTGGCTATTTTAAAGTAGTCATTCCTAGAAACAGTATGATATTCTTCGACCATGTTTCGTATTCGAAGATCAATTTTTTCATATTTTATGCGTTGGTCTTTGCCTTTGACTGATTTTATAAGAGACATTTATATCTTAGAAATTATTAAAATAATACGCACATATATATGTATACTTTCTCTTTATACTTTTATCTGATTTATTTTTTTTTAGTTTTAATCTCATTTTGATACAAAAAGCAAGTTTGATATTAAAACTAGATAATCTTTTGATTCTCATTAATATCTTCTATGTATTTTCTTAATAAACCAGTCTCACTAACAGAACATTTTTATTTCTGTTAATACATATGAGTAATTCAATCAGACGAGAACAGAACGCAAAGAATTTTTTTTGCGCGCAAGCGTCGTGCGCGTTCATGTCTTGAGCGCATACATCGTGCGCGTAACTGTCGGCGCGTAAATGTCGGCGCGAAACTGACGTGTCACGATTTTTTCATGTGATAAATCTCTTTATATGATAAATAAATTAAATATATAAGATAAACAATTTATTAAAATTTCAATCATTAACTGAAATATCTTCGGGGTAATACGGGCGGGGCGAGGCCCGTCAGAAAATTGACGGGGCGGGCGGGCTAGAAAAAAAAGTAGGCTACATGGGAGGCGGGCGGTGCGGGTTTTAAAATTTGACGGGCGGACGAGGCGGGGAAGAGTTATAAGAATTTGCCCACAAAGACGGGCGGGACGGATTTAACACGTTACACGGGGCGGGGCCCGCGGGGCATCAAAAATCATTGCTCCGCACACCTCTGATTTAGACGATGAAAATTTTGAGAAAAAAATCTTTCAAATGATTTTTCTATTTAGTTTCAGAAATAAATTTCATTTCATATTATGAACTACAATACTTAATATATTTTTGAAAAAAATTTAATCGACTTAAATTTCAAATACTATTGAAGTTCATCGAACTAATATTCTTTGTTCAAATAGTTTCTATTAACTTCAATGGATCAAAACAGAAAAGTTAAGTTTCAATTGATGATAATCGTCGCTTCCAGACAGTGGCCAATGTAATAATATACTCGAACTTGCGACGATGTTCTCGTATCATAAATGGTATGTCCTCTTGATGAATTAGATCGAAGTCGGTAAGAATATCACCAATATCTTTTACACTATTAAGCCACTGATCTGAGGGTGTGTACTGTGGCAACCAACTAAATGGTGTCGTCATTACTAAAATACCTCCTGCCTTGACCAATCCGTTATTTCCTTGCATACGCTTCAAACAAATCGATGGCTTTGGTAGACGACAAAGTACATTGGCGAGCACAACTGCATCAAAATCTTTCAAATCGAGTGGCAATGAACATGCATCACCTACTTCAAAACGTATCCGATGACAATCGATTGAAGGATTAACTATGGCTGTTATTCTTGTTTTCTGCATTCCTTGATCTTTTCGAGTATATTCTAATGTACCGTGTTGTTGCAGGTGGCGAGCAGTGTCGATAAATTTTTGACTATAATCGATGCCGACTATTTCCTTAAAAGTGGCTGTCAGCTCAAAAGCAGTACGACCAACAGCACATCCTAAATCTAGTACACGATCTTTACCGACGGCAAAACGTTTCACAAGTTCAGCGCAAGCGATTGGTAGTTCAGGTACTCGTGGAAAAGTGATGTGCGTGCAAATTAAAGGATCAAAGCGTTGATGCTCTTCACCCCAATGCATCAATAGATACATGTTAAGCATGTCTTGTGTTTCATAGGTGTTGGAACTACCGACACGACTAGCATCACAAGCACGATCACCATCTTCACTACGAACAATACGGAAACCAGCATGTTGTATAAAATGCGGGCGGAAATGGAATCTTGCCCAAACACTTGCTTCATCACCAGTACTTATAAATGAACCACCAAGAATTATGTGATGCTGTTTATCATAGCATGGTACACTAAAGTCATCGTAATATGGATGTGGTGTACTACCTTCTAGGGCATGAAAGTAATCTTCGCACCATTGCCATACATTTCCAAACACGTCGTAGAAGCCTTTTTTATTTGCTGGAAAATGAGTAACTCCTACTTCACCCCCATTACGTAAACCATTATTCCATAAATACTCATTCCCGTCACGTAACACATGATGTTCACTTTCGGTTAACAATCGATAAGGTATTAAACTATCCTCTCGTTCTGTACGCCAAGCACAATAAGCTTTGGCCTCATGAAAATTGACGCAAACTGGAGCATCCCATTGCATCTCTATTACTTCGAAAATCGTCCGTAATTGATATTGATGTAAACCAGATGGACCAACTTGTACCCAAAATAGTGGTGCTTTAACATTACGGAAAGAACGCCAATCCCATCCATCATTTGACCAATAACGTTGTTGTGTATAACCACTTGCAATAACAAATTGATAAAATTCTTTATTACTGATTAACATCGAACTTGCATTGAATGGTTCTACTATTCGTTTCTCTGTACCATATTCATTATCCCAACCAAAGCTTGGCCAATCGATTGGTTTACCAAGTGTTACTTCGGATTTCTCCAACGTTATCATGAAATTTTCTTCACTGGGCTTGCCATTTTTTTCTACAGTATAAGTTGGCCATGCTGCAGGTATACGTACATATTTTAAAGGTAATTCTCTTAACAATACTGAAGATGTTTCAAAATGAATGCGCTCATGTTCAAAACTTAGTAGCAATGCCCATGTTGGTTTATTAATATCAATTGGCATGTGTTCATCATCAAATAGCGGATGTGTTTCGATCACTTCATGAACAACTCGATACACATCAGCTCGATATTTATGAACTTCGCTTATTGACGGCCAGATGTCTTCGTCGCCTTCATGTAAATCATCCCATCGCATTTCATCGACACCAGTTTCAAATAGCTGTTCAAGTTCTGGATTTATTCCACGTTCAATAAAACCAGCTACACGTAGTTTATTTATATATAATACAGCCGGATGTCCATAATAAAAGATCATTGGATGACGTAACTTATGATAAGGACGACAATAATATGCGTCTTCATTGACTAATCCATCGAAAAGCACTTCAGTTAACGTCCATGTATTATTAAAATAATCGAGTAATTCCTTTCGACTAGCATTTGTTTTAACTTGTGGCAACGACTTTATTGAACCATTCAAGTCAACACCAGGGCAAACACCATAAACAGGTGGTTTACCCGTCCAAAATGAAGAACTGTTAATAACAGGACAAGGTGAACGATTAGACATACTTTTCTTAAATATAATCTAAAACAAACGTTTATCTATAACAATACAAACCATCTTGAGGGTGCAGGTTTCAGTGAAGAAAAGAAGACCGCCCACACCCACACCCACACTCTCAAGTAGCGTCAAACCAGCGTCATATATCTCTAATTCTTTTGATAAAAACTTTCTAGAAATATGAATCCAGATATAAAATACACTTACGAACAAAAAAGATCTGTCCACCATTTTTATTTCTGTGCTATCATACTTTGTATAAAATTTATTGTC